ACAAGCACGAACTCTCACTTAACCATAACAAGCCTAATCAGAAGGGTGAAAGCACACTTACTACTCTCCTTGCACTAATGAGGCCTTAATCTTGGATTCTCAAATCTCAATCACCTAATTAGGCTCTTGCTCTCAGCACTCTCAAGGGTGTTTCTCAGCTGAACAAATGGGCAAAAGACCTCCCTTGGATGAATAGAGGAAGTATTTATACCCTCTCATTCAAAACGAACTGTTAGGAGGTTGAGTCAGCACTCTGCGGGGTGACCGGACGCTCCGATCAAGGTGACCGGATGCTCCGGTCAGTTCTCTCCACCACAGAGCCGTTAAGTTGTGACCGGACTCTGATCTGCGTCTGGTCAGCACTGACCGGACACGTCCAGTGACGAAAACTGCTCTCTAGAACCTTACTGATGTTGACCAGACGCTGGCGCCCAGAGTCCGGTCACTTCACTGTTCAGCGTCCGGTCAGTTACCGAATCCTGACCAACGTCCGGTCAGCACTGACCAGATGCGTCCGATCAGAAAACTCCCTCTCTAGAATCTCTCTGGAGTTGACCGGACTCTGGCACCCAGCGTTCGGTCACATTTCACTCAGCGTCCGGTCGCAACTAGATGGCTCCAGTTGATCAAATGAACTGACCGGACTCATCCTTTAGCGTCCGGTCACAACCAGACTAGCGTCCGGTCAGTCATTTGACCCTCCATTCACTTTCAACTCGAAATTATATATGAATAAAGTTTGCTCCAATTGATCTTAGGGCTACTTCTAAGCTACCTAGTGATATATTTGACAAGTGTGCACCACACCTAACCCACTAGACTCACCTAGGTCAAGCTACTAGTTCATACCCCTCTTAATAGTACGGCCAAAGGAAAAACAAAGTCCTAAACTACTCTAAGTGTCCCTTCAACACCAAATGATACTTAGAACTACTCCATCCTTAACCTTATCGTCCATCCTTTAAAAACCAAAACGATTTTCATCATAGGGGCATGACAACCATGATTGCCTAATCAGTTGCCATTACCATGACCTAACTTAATTGCCTCTACAAAACACATATTAGTCATAGTAATCTCGTATTGTCATTAATCACTGAAACTCAACTACTGGCCTAGATGCTTTCAGTGTCATCATACATGCATTCGTGATATCTTATGCCATATTCATGCATATAGGATCGACTGAGGAGATAACGTTGCTGGAATTCAATGAAGAAGAGGAAGGGGATCAACAGGAGACTCCTTAAGCCGCAGCTCCAGAAGAAGAGGAGCAGACTCCAGAAGAGCTCCTTGAGTGCCCAGATCACCGCCCCACCTCTTTTCTCAAAGGCAAGCCCCGGAGCATTCTAAGCCTCCTAGTGTTTTACAAAATACTACTTGAGTTCTTTATGATTGATGCATTAGGTTATAAGAGTTGACTGAAAACACTTGATGTATGGAACTACCTTATCTAGATATATACACCTTTAACCCTATATAGGTCCAGGATCAAATATATGCTTAGCCATGCTTAGACCGGTAGAAGTGAAGTGATTTCCTATCACCTGCGAGATATAGGTGGGTACCAAAGCATTGTTGGCTATATTTGTTATCGTGAAAAAGAACCATGGGGTAATATAAATGGAGGCCGGGCGGTATATGTGTAGGTTGACTCATGTGATTCAGTCTGTGCCGATTAAGGACCATACCGTTGTTGGTACTTCTGACAAGATTGAACGCATGCCTATCACTTAGCTGGCTGAATAACTTGTTTCGACCGTGAAGCCGAGTAGCTCAACTCAGGCCGGGCCTCGCTCTGTAAGAGTGCACACTCTGGATGGTAGTAAGGATGTGCGGGGAGCTAGCCATGAGCCCAAGGGCAGGGTAGTCCTGTTCGTCCGGGCAGCTGGTTGTCCCTGATTGTGCGGCGCTGGGCGAACCCACGAAATATGTATTTGAGTTGTACCAAAGGTGACCTAAGGTGACCGTTGATCTAGTCTACCTAGGTTTGTGTTAGGAATAAATTCCCAACTGGTTGAAATCGATTCGAATCGCCGTCTCTTCCGGATAGTGAGAAACTTGGCTAGCCCTAACATTGTAGTAATTGTATTGTGGAATGTGATGGTTCGGATAAGCATAGAATTACTATACCGGCTATGATTACTATTGTACGCTCTCAAATGATATACTACATGTATGTCACAGGATAGTTGCTAATCTAGATATGAATAGCTATAATTAACTTGATGACCAAAGTATAATTGTATAATTAAGTTAATCGCTTTTTATGCAAAAATGTTGTCAAGCTACCTCCACTTATACAGCCTTGTATGATCCTTGGAGTCAATTTATTTCTGGTTTATAATGGGTAAGTCTAGCTGAGTACCTTCCCGTACTCAGGGTTTTATTCCCATTGTTGCAGATGGTACCGTCTATCACGGCTATTGCAAGAATTGCTTCTATCCCGCCGTGGATGAGGAGTGAGCCTTGGGTAGGCATCTTTAATAATCCTTCTATATGCTTTTGTGGATGGTGATCATGTGTTGGCACTGTATTTGAACTATGTTGGCAAATGCTACTTTCAAACTTTAATTTGCTTCCGCTACTATCTATTGAACTTGGTTTGTAATAACTCTATTTCGTACTCTGATGAATGAATTGTATCTGTGAACTTTATGTAACATGTGACATGTATGTTGAATCATGTACGATCTTGGTTGTATGTGGATCGTTTATCGAAACCCATCGTGGTACTCGACGGACTACCGGGTTTATATGGGCTCAAGTATGATGCGACCACTTACGGGTTGCCATTGTACTTGTGCTCTTATAAATTGGTCGGTTCTGCGACATCTTTCCTTTTTTGAACCTCACCATATATTAATGTTAAGGATATACCATGTAAGGTGCTACTAATTAAATGGAAGGATCTTATCAATGAGTGAACAATAATTTAGAAGATGAAGTAGATCCATTAATATCAGGTTTTTTTTGTTCCTAGCCATAGGTTGCCACAACTAATTTAGGCTGGCAAGCCACAAAAAGTATGGCTAGAGAATTTGGAGCCATACTTTGCCCTGTCTCAGAGAATCTTGTCACACTTTTTTACTCTACGACATATGGAGTCTAAAAATTTTTTGTCAAAGTTTAGTTATCAATCAAACACTTATCAACTTAGTCAAACATGCATAATGTGAGGTATGGCTAGAAACCAAACACCACCTTAATGGCTTAATCTAGCTAGTCCCAACTCCCAAGCATAACATCGAACAAAATGCAAGTCCGCTAGAATCCATTGGACAAAAATGCAGTAACTTTCGAGTATCATATATCTCCAAATAATTTGGGTTAGGTTGGTTGTCTTTATTAGCCTGCTTCCATACTTGTGTAGTGCAATTTGCTCGTGTTTGGTTGTCAACATATGCTCTTATACAGGTTAATTTTCACATTACTCAAAGCAGGCTCAATGATGCATTAGCTAGTACTCTAGATTTGGTCGTATTAGTACAGGTTTGCATAAGCCAATGTGTACACAAAAATGAAATATCCCCATCATCTATACCTCTAGTAGAAACATGACACCTCAACTAGAACATTGAGGTGATGATGCATGCAAGAAAATATAAAGAACCAAACACAATTTTATCTAATGTGGTTTTGCCTGTGCTAGCTAACAGAATATATCAGCCTGTTCGCTTGCTCGTATACGATCGTAGATTATAAGCTGAAACAGTATTTTTCTCTCACACCAAATCAGTCAGCAGTAAATAATCCATGATTGTTTACGACGAAATGGGATGTTTACGCTGGCTTAGGTTATGTCGCATAAGATCTAATACTAATGCAAGGATCCAATCACCCCATATTTCGTGACTCGGGGGCCGGGGGAGAGCAATGGTGTCAAATACTCCGTATACCTTTGTCTGTCGGTCGGTGCATGTACTTTCTACTTGAAAGATCACATGCACCTAAAAGTCTTGAGCTAGGTAGCTGCAATCAATATACTACACCCCAGCCTCCTTTTCTTCAGCCTTTTTCCCTGCCACCACACCCTCCATCTCCATGTGATGCCTCTGGTATCGGTCGTACAATTGCTCCCCAAGAGCCAAGACCATGTTAATTTAGTCACCTGCACATCAGCTCACATTACCAAAATAAGATGGCAATTATGCCTTAACATGGGGTATGATTACTCCCTTACATGCATGACAGTATGACACCACTCTCTGCCCGGTCTCAGCAAATGATTGCAGTTACTCTGCCCACTTCCCAAAACACCAGTGCTTTAACAGAAGTACTGCTATCACAGAGCCACAGTGGTAGCTGATCGGTCTCCATTAAGCTGGGAGAACAAAAAAGACATCCAAATGCATAGAAACCCTAAGCAAATCAAGCTTCATGGCTTTTTAACCTTAAACTCCTGCCACATGCATTTGCTGGTGAGCAGATAGAGCCAGCAAAGAGAAAGAAAAAGGCAGTCAAATTCAATAGGCCCCCACGCGATCCGGGTCAAAAATGCCCACAGAAAGAGGAGAGAGAGAGAGAGAGAGAGAGAGAGAGAGAGAGGCAGTGCATAGAGCCAAATAGATGCCACTTTTCTCCTTGGTCCTTGCTATCTCAATATGTCATGTGATTCTACAATCTACTATACAAGCATGAAGTAGAAGTAGTTATTGGTGGTACCTCACCCTCATCACCTCATGCATGCAAGATCGATGCAATCCTCATCATATAGATATAGCTTAGCTTCCACCGACAATGGCACCACCTAGCTACGGAGTATCTAGGAGCTAACAACAATGGCCGCCTAGCTAGCTAGCCTAGGAGCTCCGTCCATGGCTCCCCTCCTCTCCTCTTGTGAGCTGAGATCCTAACATGGCATCACCATCAAATAATGCACCGATCTATCTCTCACCATGTCTGCCTTCCCACTTTCCCAGTTGGCCATTTCCCACTACAAATAGCGAGCTGATCGATCGATCTCAGCACCTAGATCAGAGCTAGCACCAGCAGCAGCCATGGACGACACCATGGGCGGCACTCGTGGCCTGGTCGGCCAAGCGCGAGACGACGAGCAGGCCAGGAACGTCGTGGTCGGCGCCGGTGCCCTGACTGTGGCGAGGGACTACTACCGGAGGGGGAACTGGACGCTGCCGGAGACGATGCTGCTGATCGAGGCCAAGCGGAAGGTTCACGAGGAGCGGCACCCGGGGGACCAGGGCCTGGCGCGGTGGCGCTGGGTCGAGGACTACTGCTGGCGGGCCGGCTGCCGGCGCAGCCAGAACCAGTGCAACGACCGCTGGGACAACCTCATGCGGGACTACAAGAAGGTGCGCGCGTACGAGCTAAGCGTCGGTGGAGCCGGTGCCGGCAGAGCGCCCAGCTACTGGGCGATGGGCAGGGCGGAGAGGAAGGAGAGGGGCCTCCCGAGCAACCTCCTCCGCGAGATATACGACGCCATGGGCGAGGTCATCGAGAGGAGGATGAGCATGGGCTGCGGCGGCAGTGGCGGACCCGGCGGTGCGTTCACGGCGGCGGCGTCTTCTTCCAGCCTACTCGACGTCCCCATGCAAGCTTCCCCGCTCGCTCAAGTGCTGCCACGACCTCTGCTGCCTCTAGGTACTCGTTGGTCATCACTGTCTGAATTCTGTTTCTTGGGCGCCATTTCTGTGGTCCACGATGATATTGCATAGATATGATTTGTTTTTCTGTTTCTCCATATGATCAAGAACAAGAGACGCACGGGCATTCCAGCCCCGAGTCGCCGGAGAGGAAGAGGAGGCGGCCGTCACTGGAAGAGCTACGGCCAGGGAGCAGCATGCCGTCAGCGCCCGGAACGCACGGCCACCGTCAGGAACAAGGACGCCACCGCGAGGAGGAGGAGGAGGAGGACGACGACGACGATGATGAGAGCTCGGATGAGGCTGAGTACTCCGACGACGACTACAACGTCCTGAGCGGCGCGATCGGACGGTGCGCGGCGATCCTGTCAGAGGCGCTGGAGAGCCGGGAGGCCGCGGAGGAGCGGCGGCACCGGGAGGTGATGGCCGTGGAGGAGCGGCGCGGCCACGCGCGGCAGGCGCGTCGCGAGGCCGGCGAGCAGTGCGTGGCCGGGCTGGCCGCCGCCGTGAACCAGCTCGCCGGGTCCATGCTGGCGCTCGCCGCTGCCAAGCACAAGGACAAGGGCGGCGGCCCCGCGGCGCCCAAGTGAGACGAGATCATCGTCAAGCAGAGAGCTAGGGGGACCGGTCTCGTCTCTCATGATGATGCCGCGCGCCGTGTGCATGCAGCTGCTGGAGCAGGATGCTAGCTAGCTGCTGCTCCGATCCGCGCACGCGGCGGGCCATCGAGTGGGCTTCGACCAGATCGAGATCATCCTGCTCCTGCCAGAGCGCTGATGCGTGGGAGTGGCGATGCTCTCGTCTCGCAGCTCGAGGACCGTCAGCGCGTGTGTTGCGGCGAGTCCGAGACGCCTGGCCCTTCTCCGATCCGCTTCTGCATGCATGTGACTAGCTATAGCTCGCTGGGTTGCTTTCATTCTGAACTTTCTGATCGTCGTCCTGAAACTGACAGGTCTAGACTACTGTCGCAGGATATGCATCCATGGTAGAGATTCTTTTTGTTTAGTTTGTTGGGTTAATTTATGGTGTCAAAAAACTGGTTCATGCATAGTTCATCATGTCAGTTGGTAACTTAAATCAGTTCATGTGTTAATGTTTTAGTTGTCCATCACCATAACATGATGAATGGTTTGAAGTAGCTTGCACTAATGTGGTAACAATAAGGAATATAATTGGTAATTTCAGTAGGAATATAATGTAGAATCAAACGATCAAGGACGCCAAGTAACATTACCGTCTTGGAGGGTGATAACATTACCGTCTTGGAGGTGCAGTAAAAGTACCAAAATTAGTACCTCTCCTTGGATATAGCTTTAGTGGTACGAAAATGTAATTTATAAGATTTCGAAACATCAAAGCTCAAAAAATGTGGTTATACGAGTTTATTAGAGAGATCTTTTTCATCAATCACCCCCTCATTCATAGATCTTGCTACATACTGTACACTCAATGGTTATGGATTCATCTTCATTGATGTTTTTCATCCCTAGCAGCTAGCATGCTTTTCTCCATCACCAACCTCTCGCCCCCGACCCATATCCTTCACGGCTTCACCTGTCTTTGGTGGCTCACACAAACGGATGCACTGCCATGCACGCCAAATAGTTGGAGTGAGCTGGCGCAGCGCATGCGCATCCAACCCTTCCCATTGATCACCCGGCGCCTTGTTTTCAGTTCCTGCGCACTGATGATCTCCGCCATGTGGCAACCTTCCATCCTCAAATCTATAAAACCATGAACCCCAAACCCCAAACCCTAGCCCATTTGAGAAGATTACGTAGGTCGCCGGAGTTGAAGAAGATGGTGAAGAGGGGTGAAAGAAACATTTGAGTTTAATTACCTCGTGCATACAATTTCCAATTTCCAAACCGAGACAGCATCAAAATTAAAGCTACAAACTGTACGTAAAATTCTGTTCACCTCGCGCATACAAATTATGTTTACCATGGCAAATAAGCTAGGTTAAAAAAAAACTTAAACAATAATAATGTTACTACCCTCCCATGTATTATATATATATTAGCCATTTGATACCAGTTAGCAGTAAAAAGGCCTAAACGAGAGTTTTTTTTACGGTGCTACAAGCACTGCACCATCACATGGGTGGATCTAGTACTGGATCAGAGTAGGCTTAAGCCCCCGCTGCTCTTACTTAGAGCATGGAGCCCCTCTTAAGCCCCCTATAAATCTGTACCTATGAAAGCTTGAAGAAGAGGCTAAAACGGAAGATAATGAGAGAAACCTCTTCTAACTTATTTTCCTTAGATCTACATCTTTTTTTTTTACGCAACTTAGATCTACATCTTGCGCAGCTCTAAAAATACATATCATCAAGACTTACGTGGAACTATATACTTCGTTCCGTTCTAAATCGTAAGTCGTTTTGGCTTTTCAATACATGGCTTTTACTATGTATCTAATGTATTTAGACATAATATATATATTTAGGTATACAACAGAATTTCTATGTACCTATAGAAAACATAATATATCTAGGTATGTGATAGAATCTACTCGTATGTACCTAGAAAAGCACCTTACAATAAAATAGAAGTAGTATGTATATGTATATAGCAGCTGGGAGTCTCACGAAACACCGCCGGATGGCAGCTTGGTAAAAACCTACTACACTACCGGATGGCAGCTCGGTAAAAACCTTACTCATGTAAAGCACATAAGAACAGGGAAGGACTCGAACAACCTTTCTGCATGGTACGCAGCATATATGAAGTGAAGTAAAGATCTCTGTCGTCACAGAATATCTGCTTTTCATTTACCGATAGATAGATCCATGAACACGCACTGTTGTCTCACTCCCATTAATTAATTGAAAAAAGAAGAAGAAGAGAACTTAAAGAGCACTCATGCATGTGTCGATCTGCCAATTAACCTTGTCGTAGGTAGTGATCGTCGTTATACATGCATGCCATGTTGCCATATGCCATGCGATGGAAAGGCTGCAGTGCATGTCGTCCGATCGAGGTCCATGCACATGCACTGCCACTGCCCAGAAATTATATATATAGCAACTCGCAATCTAGCATCATTGTCATGCATGCATTGCCTAAAATTGTACATGCATGCAGCATGCGTGTTGCTGCTAACTATCGATGGATCGGTGACATCAGTATGTGTAGTAAGATGAGATGAACAGGAGCTATCTAGAGAGGGAGGCAGAGCCACGGGGACGGGGATGCACGCATGCCTTCAGTTTCTCAGTAGTCGTCTCAGGTAGTTGCATGGCTTGCACGTATGCGCCCTACATGCATGCATGTGCCACATTTTCTTGAATCTAGCTTGATCGATAGGGACGACATCATTTGATTCAAATTTGCATGTAAAAAAGTAGAATAAAGTTTAACGCAATGCATCATAACACAGTTTAATCTTTTTCTTGTGGTAATAACCGTTTGATGAACACCGTTTTAACACTTGATCAAGCTAAGATTCAACGAGTTGTTACATGAATACCGTTTGATGAACACCTTTTTTTTTTTCTTGTGGTAACCGTTTGATGAACACTATTTTAACGTTACATTTTTTTTGCTATGTTGGCTTCTGGGGATGTTCCATTGTGGTTACAAAATTTAGGACATGTTTGATGTTTAACAGTGCTTCTCCTCAAGTGCTCTGAGTGCTCCTTTGGAGGAGCCAGAGCACTTGAGGAGGAGCCACTTTTTTAGCTCCGGCCCCTTGCCCAAAAATGGCTCCGGCTCCTCTACTATACACCAGAAAATGACTATTCCTTCTAAAGTGTTTGCATTGGTACGGCTCCTCCACAAAAACTGTTGTCTGAGCCCGAGTCTGGAATCGTGACAAAATAGACCCTTAGTGGAAGATGTATAACCCATTTTACCCGAAGAAATGATGTGTAACTAATGAATACGGAATATACATTCATGATCAAGAATTGTACATTAGTGGCGCGGCGGTGGCTGCTAGGAGACCCTAAAGGCATGTTTGGTTCCTTTTCTAGCCTTGCCTCGCTAGGCCAGGAGATCCATTTTGGCTCTCCATTGCGCATTGCTCGCAAGAAAATCCTGAGACATCCTGGGAAAAAAATCCAAACAAGCAACTTCTCTTTATATCATCGCTTGGCAAGATTACACTGGTGATGAATCCAAGCATCGCTTGGCAAGATTACACAGGTGATCAATCAAGCAGGTTTATATAAAAAGTAACCTATACTCCTAAACATGCACGGACTTGGGATCTTTTTATATACTCCCTCCGAAAACATGCAATTCTAACACAGTGCCATAATTTAGTATCTCAAATTTGATTAATTATAGATAAAAAATTATTAATATTTATGATATAAAATAAATATCATTAGATTAATTACGAAATATATTTTCTTAATAAATTAATTTGGAGTCATAAATATGAACAATATTCACTAGAAATTTGGTTAAACGTAAACTACTTTTACTAGTACGCAACCCGTAGTTGTAGTTTTTTTTTGACAGAGGGAGTACTACCTCTGTCCCTAAAAGGATGCAACTATGTGCTGCATGTCGGTTAGAGTGTTTTACATTTGACCGATTTTCTAATAAATAATATTCACATTTATGGCTCTAAATCAATTTATTATGAAAATTCATTTCGTAATTAATCTAATAATATTTATTTAATATTATAAGTATTTATACTTTTTTATCTATCCCTAACACTAAAGACATAAAATTTCTGACAACTTTAGATTTTCGTCATGCTAACTAATCCTAATTGGAGTAGCCTTTCAGCTCCCGCCTCCTGCTCCTGCCGCGTCCATGGCGACGTCACATGGCCAATATTATATTTCCTCTTCGGTCACGAAATCATAGCAAGGACAGACAGAGTCCAAATTGATTACAAATCAGTACAACGAGCCAATTAAAGATGTCAAGCAACAATAACTTGCAAAGCAGCTAGGCTCGTTCGTTTTAGTTAGCGTTTATCAATTAACTAATAGTATTTTTTTTTTACAATAAATCAACATCAATAAAACTTATCAGCCTAAAAATCAATCAGCGAACAGACAAATGATCCGAGATAAAAAAAAGAACTCTAAAAAGCTACGGCAAAACAAGAGCCCAAGAGATCAAAAATAGGCACAGGAGTTGCCCTCTGGGCTAACCGGAGGCGGCCGCCCGCAAACAAAAAGCGCAGGCGCCGCCCACCTGCAAGACGAGCCGAGCGTGCAGAGGCACTGCAAGAGGCCGCGTCTGCTTAGATGGATCCCGCGGCGAGGCTCCACCGTGGCCGCGCCGGCGCCTCGAGGCCCGCGCTCCGCCGCGCCGGGACAACAGCCACTCACGCAGGTGGAGCCGCCTACGCCGAGGACCCAATGAACCTGCGCCGAAGAAGTCGAGTGCGCCTAGGGGCCGACCGCGCACGTGCCCTGGAGCTGAGGGCCGAGCGCTCGCCCGCCAGGGACGCCGTGGGACGGGGACCACCGGCGCTGCCGCGCCCGAGCACCACACATGCGCCGGGCTGGTCGTAGCCGCCGCTCCCGCGCCCCTCGCCTGCTGCGAGATGGCTGGGGTCGCCATGCCACGCCCCCGTACGCGCCAGGATGGCTGGGGCCACCACGCCCACACCCCCCACC